TGTTCTGTTTCTAGTTATGGCCCTAGCTTTATCGGTTAATTTAGTTTCTATAATGGCTAATAAGATGGGTTTGGATTGCGGATTTACTAAATTGTATGCTTTATCACAATTGTCTATGAATTCGTATAATTTTGATTTTGTACCATCAAATCTAATGAGAAGTTTTTCAGCTATTTCAATTGATACTGACATTTTATTTGAATTAGAAGTAGAAGAATTTGAAAGAGAATTTGAGTCGGGAGAAGGTATTTGTTCGTCAAATAAGTTACTTATATCAGGATATAAAGTAGACATACGTTTACAAGATTTTTAAAATATGAGACAGAATTTAAGATAGAATGTACTTACAAGTAGAATATTGTTGTTGGTCGCATAGTCTATTATTCCACGGGTTTACCTCTACTTCCGATGGAACTACAATTGGGTTATGACTGGAACTGGATTTCGAACTGGATGTACTGGACCCCAATGTAATTAGTTGTAGTGGCGATTTTTCCACACTGACAGTTTTTTTGAATGATTCCTCGAAGGAAACAAGTCAATTCAAAAATTCCTCAGCTCTCCTTCTATCAGCAATCAGAGGAACTCTGCTACTAATATCCCACGTTCTGACACCAAATTTTGTTATGGAATACTATGCGTTTATTTCTTCTCCGGACTAACTCTTTGTTTTGGAATTAAACAGAATATATTGACATGTATAAATTTATTATATTAGAGGATGAAAATTACACTGCCTGTTATTTCTTAAAACTATGAATTTATAAGTTCTGTTATCTACAATTATTTAACGATGTTTCTGGATGGATTTGAGTACAAGAGATTGGACTCAAATATTAATATTAAATAGCAAATACGGATAGCTTATCGAACAAAGAAATAAGAGAAATAAATTACTATTATTCCATAGATACGAAGTATTAGGCGAATAAACTAGCGAAACTTATTTATTCTAAATAGGAAAATATTTATGAAGAGTATTGATTCTGATTTCTAACAGCAAATAATTATTAGTGATTATACATGAGAACTTTTCATAATTGTAAATAACATATACCAGGTGACTAAAAACTATATAGAAATACATAGATACTTTAATTATCTTACATGTGAGTAGGTAGGTACATTACAGCTTAAAAGAAGTGAGGTTATGAATATTGAAAATGCTGTTAGATTTATAGAATATAGATTACAATGAAAATACTCGCCCCAAGAGAATTATGCAGACCATAAAATGAAGCTTATAATAAATCCTACCTTCTTTTATAAATTTTAATTACAGACAAAAAATAATCCCACTACGTTAGAAAAGGTGATTGACAGAAAGTAGGAAGGGACTGCAATGAAGTTAGCACAAAAGACATCGGACGTATGCCTATGATGAAATTAGCTCTTCTGTCAACATAGAACAGAATATTTATTCCACCGGACAGAAATAGAAAGAGAGCGCCAAATACTTTTTAAAGAAAAAATAGTAAAAAAGAAGTAAAGGAATTAATATATTAAAGAAATTAAAATAAAATAATTATTTAAATATAAATTAATAAAGATGTGACATTTATAACGTTACAACAAGAACCCATTACAACAGGCCATAACTCCTACTATTATAGACTGTCAAGCCAGCCAATGTATTGTTGGCAGTGTCCTGCCACTAGCCATACGCACTTTCTATTGGATACTACAATATGCCTAATTAAACGTGCAAAACAACCATAAAATTCGATGTGAGTTAAAAATGTTTCTTCATTTTCTTTGGTTTTTAATTTTTATATCCAGCAAAGACTTAAAATCAATTTTTTATTTCCTAAATTGTATTTGTAGAAAGCTTCCTTTCCAAAGTAAACACGTAGGCGCCCTCAGGCCCAACGCAATTAGTAGCTTTCTGACAAATATATCGTTATCACTCGTATTTAACTACTTGAAAACGTATAAAAAAGAGGAAATCGTAAAGTTAACACATCAAAGTACCAGTAAGGCGGATAATACTGTAAAATTTACTGCCATCGTTAACTTCTATGGTGTTCTATATAAAAGACTCCATTATTTGACTTAAAACAACAATGTATCCTCGATAAATTCGGTCTCAACTTCTAATTCCCCACTTCAAAATGCCACTAATGAAATTTTGTCATCAGATTTTAAATAACATCTGTTTTGTTTTAAAAAACCTTAGGCTTCCTTGTCTGTCGGACTTCTAGACAAAAGTACACTGTTAGAACATAATAATTATGATCGTGGAATAAAAGGAATGTAAATATGTAGCAGATTTTTATTTTTAAATCATATTCTAGATTCAGATATTCAGATATTAGATATATTAGATAAGAATTTTAGATTCAATTTTCCGTTTTTGTTAAGTGTAAGGTTCTTCAAAAAAGAGTCCATTGTTATTAAAATAAATTAGATCTTCCAGAAGATCTATTACTATAAATACTGCGATCTGGGAAGACGAAATGTTGAAATGGATATAGTACAAAGAGAGAGTTGCGACGCTAAAGGCCACGTACTAGGTACTGGCTTCATTGTAAATAAAAAGGTTGAACACCTAGTAAGAAACTTTAGTGCTATGAACGCTAGAATGTGCATCCTGATACTAAGGGGGACATTTTTTAATTATAGCATCTTAAATATGCATGCCCCTACAGAGGAAAAGGAAGACGATGTCAAAGCAAAATTCTATAAAGAACTAGAAGCTGCATACTATTCATGCCCAAAGAATGACATCAAAATTATTTATGGCGATCTCAACGCAAAAATAGGAAAAGAGCAACAATACCTAATAACTATAGTAAGCACAACCTTCATGAGGGATCCAATGACAATGGCATCAGACTAATAAATCTAGCAACTTCCTTAACATGGTCCTTGCCAGCACATGATTCCAGCGAAAAAATATTCGTAAGGGAACTTGGAGATCTCCAGTTGGGGTTACAATAAACGTGATCGATCATGCTATTATTGATATGAACTTCATATTCTGACATTGTTCTTCTGCGGTAACTAGTGAACCTAGATATGTAAAATATTTCACGCATTCGATGTTATAGTCTTCTATTGTCAGATTCTGTAGGTTCCTTTGGCCTGTCGATTTGCTGGCCCTCATGTATTTAGTTTTTATTTCATTAATGTGTAGGC